GAATAGTAGCCACTGAACCAGTTTGTTTATTGTTTTGTTGCAATTATCAGAGAGTGAACTTGACAAAGTTGGGAACCGGATCATTGTGGAGATACTTGCGAAGCTTCAACCTTGTGGGTTTTATTTGTTTTCTGTTTCTCCTCTTTATTGTTAAGACATATCGCATATTTTGCTGAATCACACATCTTTCTGTATCCGCATTCAGGCAAGTAATATTCACAACCCTACAAAGGAGCAACTGATCAACGCTGTGGAGCAGCATTTTTCTTCACAGGTATGGATAAAGTGACTAAACTGTAACAAAGTTGAAGTTTAATGACCAACTTTATACTGAATGAAGAGACTAAAATCAGTCGAAAGCAAAAACAGTTCTCATGTGGTGGGTGTTTATTGATGCAACAGGAAGTGGATGACGTACAAGTGATAATTGGGTTTATCCATGCAGCAGCGAAGAGACTAAAATCAGTCTACGCCCATTGAGATTTGGGATCGATTTACAAAAGTCAGATGATCCATGACTGTGTGTAATGTCTGCAGTATATATACAAATGAACTTCCATCTTAGTTCACCTCTAATTTATAGACTTCTAATTAGATCCAAGGCTTGTCTGTTGAGTATTTCCCAAGTTAAGGATCCTAAGTTCCTAACCTTGTAATGTGGAGACACTTGTCCAGTTAATATTATACCCTTAATTTCCTATTTGCATGTCTATATTTCTTACCATTTTCGTAGTCAACCGTGAATTAAGGCAACCAATTTGATAATGCTAGTGAGAACGGGGACTAACTTGCTCATTTTTAAAGATGAGGGGCCAACTTGTTATTGGAGCAATAAGTTGCGACCAATAGAAGAACTTGCTCCAAAGTGACTACTCCGACTTGTGTATCTTAGTCCCCGTTCAATTCTATGTGCTTGGTTCCATAATCAATTCTAAATTCATCTATTTAAAGAGGTCCAATTCCACTCATTCGAGATTCTTGTTTGTAGACCGCGTTATGCCTTTCTCAATGTTAATGATGTGTTATAGGTTCATTCCTAATGAAGTACATGAAAAGGCTTCTTGATGAATGTTATTCTTACATATAGAAGCCTGGCTGTCATAAGTATTATGGATCAACGTGTACAAGACCGAATTACGTAAAAAATAATTTCAAATGAGATTTACTTTGATGGGTTTGATTTAAAAATTATGTGGGTTGTTTTTTCGATGTCAAAAATTAAGGGTCCAGTGGGAGCAATTATACCCACTGAACCCTTAAGGGGTCCGCCCCTGGTAATGGGGGTGGGAGTGATAGGGACAATAGAGAAAATTTTTAAGAAATTTTGTAGACCAATTCCTTGTGATAATTGAATGTCGCTTTCTCTTTACATTAAAATAAGAACAACAATCCCATAATTGGACCCTACAAAGATTTTGCAACATTTTGTTGCAAAAGGTTTGGGGGGATTGCTTTAGATTTTATCATCTTTTGACCCCCTTGCCCTACCCCTCTTGTTTTATAAAGATATTCTTTTGGTCATAATGAAATGTAGAATCTTTAATGCATTATAGTTATATATTTTGGAATTATATAATGCCAACTTGTTTAGTATTTTAAGTTAAAATGGCTTCCTAATAATGGTTCAAGAATGTTTAGCCCCTGTTTGTTTCACATTATTAAAATGATTTTTACCATTGCAAAATGGACGAGTCGCAATTTTTAACTACATTGTCTCACAGTGGGACTCACTTTTTGAAAAAAATGGTCAAAAATTCCATTTTCATGTACAAAATAATGTGAAACAAACAATTTTTTATCCTTCAAATCAACAAAGACGTATTGTGCAATACTATTATTAAATTTGGATCAATTACATTAATCTTTTTTCTATTCTTTATTCATTGCTGCTTGGAAAATTTAACACAAAAAAATATTTGTAATTTGCAACCATTAAAGATCTTGTTAGGTTTAATTTATTTCATGTTTAAAATCAGCAAAATAAATAAAAAGATATATGTCAAAAAAGTAGCTGTATGACACGATTTATAAATGTTTTCTACATCGATTTAATATTTTGCAATTGTCATTTTAGCCAATAAAAATTTCAAAACAACATATCAAGCATTACTTTCATAGAATTTGGAGCCAATAATCTCTCTCTTTGAATTTCTTGCTACATTTCCTAGATGATTTAATACAAAAAAAAAAAAATTATTCACGATATGCAACTATAATGATCGCGTTAAGTTTGGTCTACCATAGCCTTGAAAATTAACTAAAGAAATTAAAAAAAATTAGAACTATCCCGGTAACGCAATAGTGATGGGTATTTCCTTCTACTATTTTAATATTCTGCATCAGGTCCCTCCATCGAATAAAAATGTCAAAGTAAAATAATGATTAGAGAACTACAAGGATAACATTTCTCTACGTTGATCGTAAAATTAATATGCCTTATAAAAATTGGTTTAAAGATTTAACTGTTGGGAATTGTGAAAAGGAATATCAACCAAAAATATTATCAAACTCTAATCGCGTACATAAATATACTCCATGTTGAAATCAAAGAGAAGATAAAAAGCGGAAACATACCTTGATCCATGTGTTTGATTGCTTGAACGGATTATGATCTTCGAATTGATACGTAGTCTCATAGAGATGAGGATGCAGAGATCTGAAAAATCACGTACAATTGGGAACCATAACCCCATGAAATAATAACTGAGTATGCAGTTATTATCTTTTAGTTATTCCAAATTGACCCGTCATCAATCAAGAACAATTATTCTGATCTTTACACTTTATTTCCATGACATTTAATATCCATTAGTCCAAAATTAGCTTTACTGGATCACTTTATTGACAAATCTTTAAGATAGCACCACACATTTTAATATCTCTTTCTATATAAAAAGTGTCTATCTAACGGAATTTGTTGATTTAACGGACGGAATTTGTTGGTTTAACGGAAAAACTAACGGAAACGGAATTTTCATTTAATTGACGAAATTTGTTGGTTTAACAGAAAAATTAACGGAATTTCTTGATTTAACAGAAAAACTAACGAAATTGATTATTTTAACAAAAAAACTTTTTCCACCGTTAATTTTCCTAATATATTTTTATAATAAAAATTATTAACTATCCAACTTCCAACCCATTTGGCAGGCCGAGGAAGCTCATGAGACCTTTCTTTAAAAGGCCCATTTATTTATAGGCATATATTCTTGTGCTTTATCAATTAGATTTCGATGTGGGATCAGCAAGCCTGGCCACCGTCGTTTATTTCAGTTTTTCCCCTTCCTCCACCAGCTTGGCCACCGTTATGCCCCCGCTTCAAATGAGTTCACAGACAAGAAACTCCATAAGTCCTTTCTTTAAAAGGCCCTCTAAAGCTCATAGGCTCGAGGCCCGACAACATTTATAGAACAATCGCCGGTGGTTTATCGATTCCCGACAAGTTGGAGGCCTTAAAGAACCTTATTCCATCAGAAAGTGGGGAGATGAAGCCGGAGCAGTTGTACTTCTCAATACCCAAGTTCTTGTTTTGCAGAAATTGATTGATTTTTATGGGTCTCAACCTCAAAAAAACAAAATGAAAATCCCAGAAATTGATTGCAGAAATTGATTGATGGGTTATGCATCGATCCGTCGCCCAAATTCGTGCGAAAAAGATGCCAATATTTTCCCAGTTTATTTCAAATGAGAAATTCCAAACCACAAGGATGTTGTTGGATGTGTATTAATTAAACCCTACCCTCACATCATTTCTCATCCCCATTTTGTCTCTCCCGACTAAACAGTGAAGTGAACCCCTGTCGCGCCGCGCCTGCGCACCACTCTCTCCCTTGACCCCATCCTCTCTCCTACACCACACATCGTCAGACCGCAGTACTGCACACGGCCACACCCACTCACGGTACCAGTCTCCCTGTCTCTGTCTCTTCCACAGCCTGCAGCCACGCTTCGCCGTTCCAAGTTCCAACTCTCACTCCTCTGTAACAGATGCAAACATCAGCGCCTTCTCGTCGATTACAAAACCCATGCAGATTCCAATTGGCTTCCCCGTATCGGCGATTGGATCTGCACCGGTAAGTATGATATATGATATATGGGTTTTTTGTTAACTTTATGGTATATTAATTTGGATTTGATTCAATAATTGATTCACTAGAAGACCTAGATGGGATTGTGTTACATATGATTATCAATGGATCGTGGAATTCTACTCATGTCAATACTTTCCAGTGATAAATGGAACTATAATGTCATTTTTGCTTTTGAAAATTGCTTAGGTATAATGACTTGCCTTTTTATGTTGCATTATATGTCGGAATTTGTCATGAACTGAATTTCAATTTGCAACCTCAAGTTTCCAACATATCAACTGTGGAGTTCTCTGAGCTGAATGAGCTGAAATTGTAACCAAATTAAAGGAAAATAGAATGGGGAAGGGGGTAAATGAGAAAATCAATAAGAAATGGGAGGGTAAAATGACAAACAAAGAGAATTGAAAGAAAATGAATTCTGAAATCACTCCACTATATTCACTGCTGAGAAATTACGGATTGAATAAGAAGAACGGATTTGAAGATAAAGAGAAAAGGAGGAGGGGGGAGGAGAATTTCATCTCTCCATGTGCTTAATTTATAGAGAAGGAGAGAATATTCTCGAATGCATTTGTAATGTGGTTGAGTAGCTCGAAAATTTAGTGCTTTTTTTAGTAACCTAAAATTTCATACTATTGATGTTGAATCTCTTTCTAGGTTTCAAGAGAGCATAAAAATTAGTCAATTAGTATGTTGGCCTTTCTACTCTTACTTTATTGTTATGGTCTTGCTTAGGGTTTATGTTTGTATTTTTCTTTATGGATTGCTCACAGGAATGATACAGAAGATAAAATATGGCTGAAGAAGGGAGAGTGCATCCTGATTGCCGAAATGCATCGAACCCGTATCACGAATGTAGTGAATACTGCTTCAAGATTATTGCTGAAACAAAGAAGAAGATGAACAAAAATGACACGGGTTGGTTTCTTATTTATATTATCCTTGCTTCTTTTGTTTGACATAGTCCTGTATTGATTGTGGTAGTTGAAAATTTGGATCTTGTAACTAATTATATCAATTATAATGATATCATTTATGTTGACGCCACCAATTTCTACAATTACCTGAAACACTGGCACATTAATCGGCTGTGGAATTTTTAATAGCCAACATTTTCTTCCATCTTCTTCATATTTTCCCTTGCGGCAAGCAGGAGAGGGAGAGAAAGTGGTGTGAAATTCACCTAAAAACTTCAAACCTTATGGCTGGACACGTTGCAACCGGAGCAAAATTAGATGATGTGGACCAATAAATAGTTGTTAGTTACTTAATTCTTGGATCTCTGTTCCAAGAAGATAATTCATACACAGATTTGAGATGCGTTTTATTTATTGTGAAGTACCTAATATTTTTCCCTACCCTATGCCAGGAATGCAAGTTGTTAGTGACATGGTGAGACCAATGCAGTTGCCATTGTAGATTAGGAGGAAAATCATGAAAGAGATGGCAAGGGAGGTGATTCTGAGGTAGGGCTGGTACTGACGGTGAAGATGACACAGGAAAAGACCTCAAAAATCTTACAGGAAGGCAAAATAGGTTATTTGAGTTGAGATTGAAAATGGTAAGGGCATATCAGCATTAGTAATTAGAAATAGGATGTCCTTGTTGTGTGGAAAGCATAGATACACATCTAACTTATGCTCTTCCAGGAATAGATTATTGTCCTTCGTGATTTTATGGGTAATACATCATGGGTTGTGAATTCATACATGCAGAATGAGGCAAGAAAAGCCAATCAGACTGCCATGGTTGCCGAGAAGAAAAGAATGGAACCTCTTGAAGAGTCTAGAGGAATTTCTAAGCAAAAATGGCTTGAGGAGAGGAAGAAGATAATTGGTAGACTTCTTGATGCCAATGGTTTGAATATGAGCAAAGCATATATGCTGGACACGCAAGACATGGCAGAGTCAAAGTATAAAAAATGGGAGAAGGAGCCTACTCCTGCTGGTTGGGATGGTATGAACTATTATTGCTTCATTGTTGTAATGTTTCTTACTTGTGTAAGAAGTTCTTATTAATAGCTATGTGCATGGCCACGCCAAAATTATTCGAAATTTGCATTAACCCATTGCTGATATATAATTATAGCTTAATTTGTACTGGACTTGTTATTCGTAGCTATTGGATAAATGTTTTAAAATTATATGAAAATGTGCAATACGCCATACTGCAACTGAACTTAATGAGGTCATCAAATGGTTTCACAATTGCTAATATCTTATTTTGGGATAAATGGATGGCATCGATGTATTCGTAATATGACTTCGAATATTAATGTCCTTCGAAATCACCTGGGGAATCATTCTATCATGAAATTCTTCTATTAGTAGTGAATTGCAGCTGGATGTGAATATCTCACACTTTGTGTGTGCATCACATTTTATTGACACAACTTAGGTCGGATAACTTGTATGTACAATAATCATTGAATGTTACCTGAAATTTCCTGTACAAATGCTGGTGATGGGAATCCTAGAAGATGTATTATATGGAATACTTTCTAAATTGGATACTATTTTAGTAAACATAAATTAGGATTTTATTTAATAGCTTCTTTAGAATTTTATGAGTTGTTTCTAATCTAAATCTAATAGATTCTGTAGTATTTTATTATTTGTTTCTTACCTAGATTAGATTAGTTTAAACCCTATATAAAGGTTGCTTATGCATTGTAATAGTTACATTCTATTGAATGCCTAATGAAGTCGTTGCGTTTTGTCAATATCTCCGTTGATTTCGATGGTCCTTGAGAATTGATTGGTTTAGTTATCTCATTCTTTGCTTAATTCCAGTGTGGTGACAAGCTTGGTCTAAGTTTAGAATTGATTGGTTGAGTTACATAAAGTTCTCAATGAAGTCAATTAGATTTCAGGTGGTTTTAATTTTGTTTATTTAATTAACCAAAAAAATTACATCTTCATTAATAACAAAATTAATTCTTAAACAAAACTATAAAATATAAACTAAGCAAACATGCATTGCACGTTGCTTATACCTAGTATATATATATACATGTATGGCCACATATGTTGGAATTTTTCCAACATTAACTTCATTGAATATCAAAGAAAATGTACATGTAGCAGAATTGTAAAATCTATATGACTAAGATTTGGTTCCAGCACGTTAGCAATGATTAATTGCTAATTATCATTAAAATATAATTATGTCAACATACAAAGGAATATATAGTCACTAGTGGATGTCAAAACAAGAAAAAACATTTAAATAGACGAATTAAAACGCTTATCAACTTCATTATTTTCGTTAACTTATTGCCTCTCCACTTTATTTCATTGTTCTTATGTGATGTGACTTGAATAAAGACATACAATCCAACCAACTTTTCCAAATTCCCACCACTTTCCCTTGGAGTCTTGATTTTTTGTATTTGTTTCAAACATCATAGTCGTAGACTACTAGACTATTGATTACTAAAAAATTGTCCTTTAAGCGAATTCATTCGAGAATTTTTTTTTTTTTAAAAAGACTTTATAAAATGTTGGAAAATTTACACCATCCGTGACTTTTTATCTTTCCATTTCAAAAATTAGAATTTACCATTTGGTCCCCATTTTTTTCATTACATTACATTACTTTTTTCTCTCTTTTCATTTCAACTACATATTCAAATAAAATAATATTACACACAAATCTAAAATCATTCATTACTTTTTAACCACACATTATTTCATCGATCACTATTCCAAAAATTTTCAAGACCCCAAAATGGGGGCCAAACAAGGGTTGCTAAGTTTATCTTTTAAAAAATTAGGTATATAGTACATCCTACCCTACCTCATCTCACCCTAAATGTAATAGTAAAACTACTCTATGGTCTTGTTCAGCCCAGGAAATCGAGAAAACACCAGTTAAATTTACCGTGACGATCTTTTTCACCAAAAACTTGAGAAACCCTCACAATTCTCAAGGAAGACAAATCATAAAACCTACCAATTCCGGCGCTACCAACACCACATCTTCATCATCTTTATGGAACAGGCTTAACTTTGCCGAATCAAGCCTACCATTACTTGCGGAAGGCTGGTAGTCAATCCTAACTTTTGCAAATTTGGGCAGCCTTGTTGTGGACGAAAGGGTGTGGGTTGTGGTGGTGGTTGTAGATTTGAGGTAGCAGTAGTTGTTATGGTGTGGTAAGGTGAGGTGGAAGAGATGTTGGATTTGAGGAGTCGGTGGTAGTGGTGGTGTTGCGTCTCTAATTGTGCATTTGTGTCGTTATTTGGAGGAGGTGGTGGTGGTGGTGAGATGGCTCGACGTTTGGTGGTGCTTGTGGTGGTAGGGCGGGGTAAAAAGCGTTTTGTGACTATTATTTGGGTAATTGTGACAGATAAAATAGGTAATATGTGAGCAATAAATAATATCACCTAAAAGTGTATAATTTTCTTCTAAATTTATAATTATGACTAACAATTTGTATTTGTGATTGATACGTGATACGCAACTGTGACAAAATTATGTTTGATTGTATTCGTAACCTAATTAATTAATTTATAGGTCACAAACTTTTACTAGGGTCACGAAATACGACCATCTAATTTTTGAAAAAAAATTCACAACTTTATTATTTTTTAAAATGTATCTTGAAATCTTTATAGTTACTTAATTTTTTCAATATAAGTTACGAAAAAATGATCCAGTATACTAAATGGGCCGAAGTAATAGCCCAAACTCATAGAGTCCAGACTTGGATAGAAGTTCGAAAAATGGGCTGTTAGCGTTCGGTTGGAGATCCAAAGCTGGGTCCAAACAAATCATATTAAAAACAAAAACTATCGAGGGAATTGATGGAAACAACACTCAGACAAATAACACCACGAGTCGATAGTGAGTATTCCATGTAAGTAATTTTATTCCATCAAGTACAACTCAAAGTAATCCAATGAAAAACAATGATTACTCGATTCCTTGTTGAGTATCAGGAATGAAGTCATCTTCGTGGAGACATTCAAAAATTCTTTTCATGCTAGTCCCCAAAGAGTAGGGCACCTCATTCTTTCTTTTCTTACGGAGAAATTAAAGTATTGTCTCTCGATTAGCAACATGTCGTGAAGACAGAATAGAGTTTGTCATTGAAATGATGACTTAATTTTATTACCGTATGGATGATTGCTTCCATATCATTAGAAATGATATGGATTCTATCCACCCAAGACCAACAACTTCTTGAGAAATTTGTACTTGAAAATGTACGAAACGATGGTTTGTCCACCAACCAATCTACTAAAGAATTTTCTCAGCCGGTAGTGGGCCTAAAAACCGCCAAAAGAGGTGGTGGTTGGAGAGCCAGCCAACAACTTGAGGTGGAGCTACGCCTACTCCCAAATAATATTGCCACGGATGTGAATCTTAGTCCCGTTTTGACGACCATTAAAATGAAAACTTTTTTTGAATAATGATTTTTTGAAAAATGTGTGATTAAAAGTATGAAAAAAAAACATTTTATTGTGAAAATGTGTGATTGAAAATGGGTTTGATAAAAAAAAGGAGTTTCATTTTAATGTTTGTCGAATATGATTTTAGTGTAAGCCATCTAGATCATTGTCGGGTTCCTCTGAAGTTGAAGTCTGGCTTGGAATAGATGTCTCATTCGACTCTCTCAAATAAAAAATATTCTTCTTATTATTATTTAGAATGACAATAATCGAATGGCAAATTTCATTGCATTCGGTAGACATCTTCCAATTTTCTTTTCACATTTATTTCTAATAATAATTCTACCAAATTTTGTTATAAGTTCGGTTGATTTTTATTTTGAGTCATACTATTTGTACAATCGAGATTGAAAACCACTCATATGGAGGGTCTACTTTTGTTTTTTGAATTTTTTAAACATGTGGACCCAACACACGTGTGAGAGGTTGTCAATCTCTGTTATACAAATAGAATTTTCCTTTTATTTTTCTATAACATGGTATTGGTGTTTTCAATTATTAATAAAAGTTGGGATGATCAAATGATGAGGGTGCTCAGAAAATTATCGGAAGGTCTAGATGTATCTACTAATTTCTGTACTTTATGTAAAAGAAAAGGGAAAAATTCATTTATCCTACTTCATCTTTACCCTATTTCAAAAATAACAAAACAACTTTCACATTTCAAAAATCAGATTTTTTGACCTATACATACACATATTTATAAATATTTATTTATATATTTAAATATATAAAAAGATATAAATAAATAAACACACACACACACAAAA